ACGAGGGGACCATGTACCGGGACCCGGAGGCGGCCAGCCCAGGTAAGCGCGGCCCCGCGCGGGCTGGGGCGCCCCGCACCGGCGGGCAGGATGGCTGCAGCGCCTGGTCGCCGTCTCGGAGCCCCAGCCTAGGGCTGCTGTCGGCTGGAGCCGCACGAATTGCACCCCTTCCTACCAGGGTCATCCCAGCCCCGGGGGCGTGGGTTCTAGCGGCAGAGACTCAGACTTAGACCCCGCAGTCGGGACGTTGCTAGGCTGGATGCCCGGGGCCGGGTTCGCAGTGTCCCCACAAGGACCTCCCCCCCCCACCCCCCAGCAGCCCAAGGACAACGTGTGTGGTGGAGCGAGGAGCTGCTGTCCCCGTGGGAGCCGGGCAGTGCCTTCAACGGTACCCCCTGCTCCCCAACACCGGTGCCCTGGGGATGTCAATGTTGGGGAACCTCGGGGCAAGGAGGATCCTGGCAGCTTTGGGCCAAGATTGTGGGCACAGAGGAGCGGAGTGTCATCTGTGGTGCCAACTGTGAATTGAGGGGGCTCCAGGGGCAAGTGGGAATCTGGTGCAGCGGCGGGGGATAGAGGCTTCTGGGGGGGTGGGGAACCGCAAGAGCGGTGAAGGGGAAGCAGGGGTACCTGAAGAGAAATCTCAGCGGCTGATGACAATGGGGGTGGCCGGGCAATGTTCTCCTGGCCTTGGGGAGGGGGACGCAAAGAACATCAAACTCACTCCAGTCCTACCAGGGAGGGTGGGGAAGGGGGCCGCACCCCTTTGCCTTTCTGAAAGGGAGTGGCCTGGGAGCCCACTGTCCGCTGAGCATCCTTCTAGCATCCTTAGAGCCCAAGCCAGGAATCTCTCCTCCTTCCTCGGGAAATGGCTCTGCCATTTCCTCCTTGGCTCCTGACGCCTCCCCCACGCAGTGCCCACCTGTAGACAGGTCCTCTGCAGCTCCTGTCCAGGCTCAGTTCCAGCTCCCACCTGGGATGCTCCTTCAGACCCAGCAGAACCCCCTACCCCCACTTCTCCTAGTTCAGCCTCTCGGCCTCCGGGGTTTCTGTGTCTGGGCTAGGCTAAGAGCGGGGCTCCAGCCTAAGACCTGCTCCTACAAGAGTCTCTGGATTCCCTGCTGTGGGGCCTGGGGGGAGGCAGGTGCTGTGAGAAAGGCCAGCCCTGAAACCCTCCACAGAAGGGGCCGCAAGCCCCGAAGCTGTGTACAGCATGCTGGTGGACACTGGCGTTGACCATTTGTGCTCAGTCCACACTCGCTGTTTTCTCTCGAGGGGCACTCCAAGTCCACTGAGATTGACCTACTGGGTGGCAGACGGTGTACTCACTCGGGACTTGGGTCTGAGCCTCAGTCTCCTCTGGAGCTTCATGTCCTTCTCTGAATGTCCTCTAGGTGTGGGCTGAAGGGACATTACCTTTGAGGGCCCTTTCCCTCATCTGTCTGAACCCAGGTCACCTAGCCTGACATTGTTCCCCTGGGAAAGCCCGCTTCCTACACTTGGACCAAAGGCAGGGGCATCTTTTTGCTTGGTACACGCTCAGCAACCAAGTTGAGAGCCCAGCTCAGGCTGAGGGTGGAAGGGAATGTGGCGGGGGCAGTCTCCATAGCTGTCAGGCCACTGGCCTGGGACCATGCACCCACCCACCCGCTCTTACCCTCTAATACTTGGGCACCATGACGTTACCACTCCTCCAAGCACCTCTGCCCTCTCCACAGAGGCCAACTTGATGTGCTTGGCATCTTCTGGGCAAAGGGCCTGGATTCCACAGCTGTTCCTGACAGGCCGGCAGCCTCTGAACCTTTCCCTTCCTGCTTACCTGTCTTGCCCCTTGAAAACTCCAGGGTCCACCAATGCCTATGGCAAGGTTGGTTCTGACTGTGAAGGAGGCTGGTGAGGTTTTCTTCTCTCTTGTGTGGGCACTGGGCTGGTGGAAACAAAAATAGGTTGTAGCGGGTAAGGTATGTTTGGATCCTGCTCCTTTGGGATCTCTGGGAGCCTTTGTGATCCTTGGTGTCACTGCCCACTTCCTAGAATCCCTCTAGCTCCATGTCACTCCCATCCCTGGCGGCTTTCTCAAAGTCCCCCAGGCTCTGCTACCCACAGCGAAGGCCCTGTATCCCCCCTTTCCAACCACCCACAACTCCCCTTTGCCTGGCACCAGGTAGGAGTGAGATATGCAAATTAATTCCTGTGTGACTCAGACCAGTCCCTCATCTCCCCTCCGGTCCCACAGGAGCCAGTACCTCTTACAGCCTGGTCTCCTCATCCACCCTTCTCGGGAACACCTGTGCCCACTGGTGCCCTATTAAAAACTAAATAAATAAAAGATACCTCATGCCCTTCTGCTCATCATGCCCCGGGCCATTTGCAGAGGTTTCCTATGGTATTCTCTCTCCCTTTGCTCGCTCACTCTGCAGGTCCCCAAAGGGCTCATCCTAAGACGAAGACTTTACCTGATGAGTGCTCTTCCCTTCCCACCTGGTCCCTGGCCCCCGGGCACTATTACTCCTGTTATTATAAAGAAAGGGGCCGTGGAAGAGAACAGGAGGCAGATGGGGAATGCAGACCTGTTCCCTCCCATGCACACCCATGAGATCCTACTCCAGCTGCCCAGCCACCTCTACCCGGTACCTTCAGCCTCCTCTGCCCTTTCTCTCTCCCATCCTTTATCCTCTGCATCCCAAAGCTGGCCTGGCCTGCCTCCTTGGTCCGTCTCTCTGACGGCCTGTCCCCAGGCTGGGCAGGGCCTCAGCAGGCCTGCAGGGGTCAGCGTTGCGGTGGGCAGGCGGGACAGGCAGGACAGCCGTGGGAAGGAGGAGGGAGGGAGAAGTGACCTTGCAGTGAGCTGGTGAGCAAGGCCAGAGAGAAGGGCTGGGAGGGAGAGGTCAGGTCCTGAGGGCTTCCTTCTCGGTCAGCAGGTGCCTGGGACTCCGTTAGTTTCACTGGACAGCAGTGTCGGAAGCCTCCGTCTGTCCCACCTGTTAGTGGGCTCTGTCCCCTACAGACACTCCATCAGGCAGGTCATTCCTTAGGGGCAAAGGGGGCAGATGTATCATACAGGGCAGAGGGCCTTGGCATGGCAAGGTAATTGTCTAAATCTCCCATCTACTCCCTGGGCACAACTCCAGGGCAGAGTCTGATGGAGGGGTTGGTGTGAAGCTGGAGTCAGGGCTGAAAGAACAGGTTAAGTCTATGGTGTGAGGACCATAGATGGAGCCAGGGCCAAGGCTGGGTGGTGTGGAAGTCCAACAAAGACAGACCATCCCACAATTTCCCTGACAACTGCTCTTCAAAGGACCGTCCTCGTCTAGCTAACCCCATCTGCACGGGCTCCGTTTGCTGCTGTGCCTGTGTCCTGGGCTTGGGGCAGAGGTTAGTGCTTCAGAACCCTTGGTCCCTCCAACAGGTATGACAGGGATGGGGTCTGAGGATGAGTTAGTCTAACAGTGGGTTAGGAGAGGATGACCTTTGGGTATAGGAACTCCTCTAAGCTATAGAGTTGCTGAGGAGACAGACCTCTCACGGACTGGTCTGTGCTGTTCTGTGGCCTTGTAGGGACAGCTTGACCATCAGGCTAGGTGTTTATGAACCCAAGGATGGAGAAAGGAGATGGTCCTGCAGCCTCTCCTTGATGGTAAGGGTGCCTGAGAAGGTTGGATCGTGGTGATAGGCCAGCTTGTGGTAGGTGGTGGGGAGGAGCAGGGGGGAAGCTAGAAGGCAGAGGACCAGGCGGTCATCAAGCAAGCGAAGATGGGTCTTTGGGCAGCCGGTCCTGGTCCTAGTTGACCCACAGGCTCCAAGGGCAACAGAGCAAGGGCCCTCCAGGCCTAATATTGAAGCATGCCATGGGGGAAGGGCAAAGGAGGAGCATGTGGTCCCCTCCTCTCCACCCCCACTCTCTACCCACCCCTCTATTCTCTCAGGGACTTTGAATTCTTATTGAATCTGATGGACCGTTTTCAATAACTGCTTCCCCCAGGGGAGTGAGGCCCACAACAGCAGGGAGGCTTAGTCCTGAGTGGAGGAGGAGGAGTTGGTTCCATGGGCTCCTAGGAGACACCGAGATATCCCAGGTGGGCACAGACATCTCTACGTGTAGTCCCTATTCCATGGTCAGTGCCCACAGGTGGCACTCATGGCCAATGAGGTCAGCTTTCTCTATCAGGGCAGTCACTGCTCTGGCCAGGTGCCGGAGCCAGCCTGTGCCAGGCTAAGCCTGGGTACCCTTCTACCTTGCCAGGGAACCCCAGCCAGTGGTGCCAAGTGAATTGTGCCAGTTCCATGGACATGGAGGTGCTGACCTTCAGGCAGCAGGGGGTAGCCCTGCTGGTCTCTGTCCAATTTGCCTCTGGAGGGCCAAGCTTTGTCTCACCCAGCAGAATTCCCTGGGGGTTGGAACAGAGTTGGCAGACAGCATGGAACCTGTGGAAGGGACTGGAGAGAGCCCAGCATCTATTCCTGCATTCCTACCCGTTGGTAGGAAGGTGGGCTGGCTCATCGGCTCCTCATGAAGGCTTGGCAGCTTCTACCTGGAAGGGGCCCTTGGGAAAGGTGTGTCACCCTGGGTGGTTGGGCCTGAAACTGAGTTATAGGGTGGGCTGGGATGTTTGGGGAATTGGTATATCCACGTGATAGCGCATGTGGGGCTCAAGTGAGGGGGGAGGGGAAGACAGGGTGGTGGGAGAAGCCTGGTGGCTGTGTGTACCTACGTGTGTGCGTGTGCGGGCGGCAGCTGGCTGGTCGGCCGTGATAGCTGTGCCGAGTGCTGAGTGCCCTGCCCGCTGTAAACAGCAGCTAATGAGTGTATTCATAGCGAGGTGCATTGAGGTGCATGGGGAGCTATGACGGAAAGCTTTGGGGAGGGCACCTCCCCCGGCCCTGTACTCAGCCTGTCAGGGCTCTCTAGGGATCCTGCCTGCCCCCTGCCACACCCTCAACCTGCCAACTTGGCTACCTCTGAGGCTTCCATCTTCAGGGAGCAGGGCCTCACCTAGCAGTAAGCATGCATGGGTGTGGACATGGGATGGTTGTGGGAGTATTCTGTATACAGATACAAGATTACCATGATGCTGTGTGGCTGTGTGTGTGTGTGTGTGTGTGTGTGTGTGTGTGTGTGTGTGTGTAGCTGTGTTAAACTGAACTCATCTCTGTGTTAGTGACTCTGTCTGATTCAATGCATGTGTGTTTGCACCCCTCCCCAAGACCCGAAGAGAAGGACTGTCCCCTAAATCAGTAGTTACCCTGACAGTGACAAAACCAAACGTATTGTCAGAACAGCGTGATGCTTCTGGCCCTGCTCCTTCCAGTGTCCTTGGAGCTTGGGAGGATGAGGGCTTCTGGGGCTGCTTGATGGAGAGAAAGGGGTGACCCTGTTCTTCCCAGTGGAGGAGGCAGAAGGGAGGGTCTGAGTCTCGGCTTCAGTAAGCTTCCATAGCTACTGTTTGCATCAGCAAAAAAGGGGGCCTCGGGTTTGCGCACCTCCGGGAACCCCAGAAAAAAGAGAAGAGGGGTGCCAACGAGTCTCTTCTAACTGGTTGGTGGTGTGTGCGCCTGCTTCCTGCCAGGGCTGGGTAAGTGAGAAAGGGGTGCCTGCGTGAAGCCCCAAACAGGGGAGTAGAGGAGAGAGCTGTGTGGCTAATGTGTCCAATTAAATTACTTCAAACCCTGCCGCGGCAGCTGCTCCCGGTGGGGCTCTGGGTACAAATTGGATCCGTCTCATTACTATGGGATAGTGTCAGCAGGGCCAGAGAGCTGTGGCTGACTTGGCCAGCCCAGAGCAGGCCCTCGCGTGCTCTGCCCAATCGGGGTACACCAGGGCCCCCTAGAGGAGTTGCTCATCAAAACACCCCATGGGGTCTCTAGGCCCAGTGAGATATTAGGGTTCTCTCTTTCCCGTGCCTGACCCTATGAGTAACAGACCCAGGACCCCTCTGAGGCCCTGGTTCCTTCCTCTAGGAATGGAGTAGGTTGTGCCCTGCAGGGCATGTAGCTTAAGGAATTCCTTCTCAGCTCACCCATCACCTCCCCACCACTAATATTAGCAGAAGCACTGAAGTAGCAGCCTCTTACTTACGGAGCACTCGGTATATGCTAGGCGCCTTACACATGTGCTACCAGGGATGCCTTGCCAAAGCCAGGGCCCTAGACCCGCCTGCTGTCCTCGTGAGCTCCTGTAGAGGTAATTGTTGCTGTCTCGCTCTCCCCCTGCTGCCTCAGTTTCCTCCTCTGTGAAATGGGCATGAGGATGCTTCTTCGCTTCTGGGTGCCTGGAGGATGAGGAGAGATGAGGCAAAAAGAAGCAGTCATCCCAGAGCTTCGCACGTAGTAAACACTCGTGGTGTGGAAGGGCAGCTGTTATCAACATTACCCCGTTCTGAGAGATTGATGTGTGGGACGGGGGTTCCGGAAGCTCCGGGGAGGACATGTATGCCACTCGCTCAGTGGAAGACTTTGGGGAGGATTTCACCGAGGCCATGGTAATCAGTAGCTGTCAAGATAACACAGATTTGCGGGGTGCTCGCTGTGTGATGGATGCTCTTCTAAGCACGTGACGTGTCCGTCGTCAGTACACCCTGGCAGGGACTTGCAATTAGAAGTCAGTTCGGGATTCCAGCCGTGCTGCAGGATCCAAGAGCTTTGGGTGCAGAGCTTTGGGTCCTGAGGGCCAAAGAAGAGCTTGCCATAGAAAGAAGCACAGGCAAGGCATTTGGCAATTGGGAGCAAGCACACACAAAAGTTCAGGGGCCTGAGAGGTCTTGGCCAGTCGAGGCAGTGCCTGGACTTGCCTGGAAGGGAGATTCTGGGGAGTGGTAGTCCAGAGTGAGGCTTGGGAAGGTAAATTGGGCCAGATTAGGAAAGGCCTGGCTTCAGAAATTATAGAATTATTGACAGGCAGAGCAACAGGGTCTCGTATATTCCAGGCTGGCCTGGAACTTCTACCATAGCCAGAGAGGACCTTGGGCTTCTGGTGTGCTTGCCTTTACCTCCCACGTGCTGGGATTATAGGTTTATACCACCACACTTAGGTTATGAAATGCCAAGCATTGAACCCAGGGCCCTGTGCATGCTAGCCTAAAATTCTGCCAACCGAGCTACACTCCCCAGTTTTGCTTTGCTTTCGTAAGGTAATGGGAGCCTTTTGAACAGATCGCCGTAAAGAACTATAATGGTGTGGCAGTGTGGGAGAGGGAAGCTTGGCAGCAAGCTGGCAATGGAGTTAGAGTCTCACCAGGGAACACACCTGCCCAGCTCTGTCTCAGGCTTCCTGCCTCATTCTCTCACCCGAACAGGCTTGAGCCCAAGGCCTTAATTTTTCAGGATTCCGCTGACCTGGGTCCTGGCCTTAGCAAACCGGTGGTGGGAAGTGGGCAGTCAGATGGTAGCCAGTGTGGATGAGCATCAGTATAGACCCCGAGAGGACCTTCCTAGCACCGGGGTCATTAGAAAAGGCCTCTCAGAGGTGGGTGGGGAGCCAAAGTGAGTGGTTCCAGGGCCCCAGGGACATAGGCGATACTGCTAATGATTAGTTCTGCACCCCACCCCTCACTCTGGGCATCAGGGTAAGGCCATAGCAGGAACCACGGAATTCACACTCATGCTTCCAGGTCTGGGCTCCAGAGTCTCCACAGAGCTAAACTGTCTCCGTGACAACTGGGCAAGGTACTCCACGCCCGTGGCCCCTGGTACAGGGGCCCATTTCCACCAGGGTCTGGATATATCTTCCTATTTCCTTTGAGAACAGTCATCCCAGGGCAAACAGCTTTACACTGAGGTGCTGATAGCACACATACATGTGTTGGCATTTGAGTCTGTGTGCCCATTCATGCATATGAGTGTGTGTGTGTGTGCGTGTGTGTGTGTGTGTGTGTGTGTGTGACCTTATTTCCTAGGTTGTGTAGGCGAGGAAACTGAGGACCAGAGAGCTAGAGGATCTTGGCTGGGTTATTCCACAAATCAGAATAAAGAATTTGAGTCATTCTTAGTCCATAGGCTGGGTGGTAACCACTGAGCTATACTGCCTAGCACTTCCCTTGTCCTACTAGGATCCCAGCCAGCCTGTCTCTCAGTCCATTTCTCAGAAGGGAGTGCTTAGAGTTGGCTTGGCTGCAGAGTCGGACTCAGAGGGTGTCCCAGCACCTTCGTGAGTGCTTAGGGCTGTCCCCTATAAACCCTTTACTCTCCAGTCCCTGTGAATGGAGTCGAGGTCCCTTTCTGTACTGTTTTCATTCTTCTCCAGGCGAAGTGGAGGGATTCTCTTGCCAGAGGATCTGGGGAAAAGGGGAGGAGCCCCTCACTTACTGCTTGGCACCTGCCAGCCTGGGAGGAGCCCAGTGAATTGTCTGTGTGGCCCTCCCCAACCTCATTCCTCCTTCTCCAGCCCCCGCCTGGTTGGGGAGGTGCGAAGGGAGCGATTTCACAGCCTGTCAGCTGAGGCCTAAAAATACCCAGAACTCGGAGATGTTTGGGCAGGGGGAGGAGAGCGTAGGGACCAGGGATGGGGTGGAGGGGTGCAGTTAAAACTCAGCCAGAGGGGCCCTGGTGGTACCATCACCCTGCTTGGGAGTAAGGGCTAGACCCTCTGTTCCCATGTCCCCCATCTGTCTCATTTGTGGAAATGACTAAGGGGGGCTGGCACCCTTAGGGTTGTGAGAGCTGAGCTACGACAGCCAGAACCAAAGGAAGACTTGGTCTTTGGTAGGAATCATAGACCCTAAGCCCCCCGGAGCCTCATGCAGATGCCTCTTCCTCCCTTCCCACCCCCAAGTTGGCTGGCATCTTCAGGCCGTGGGAGCCAGGCTGTGCCTGAGCCTGCTTCCTTCCTGGAGAAGGTGCCTGCTTCTGCTAGAGGAGAGGCGTGAGGAAGGCAGTGGGGATGGAATGCCAGCAGGTGTGTGGTGTGACGTGCCAGCCACCCAGGCACTAGAGGGAAGCAGAGGAGAGAGGGTGTGGCGGCCCACGTCACTACCACGTGGCTATGCACTGCAGCATGGCACAAGGTCTCCGCTAACCAACCAGAACACAGAAAGGTGTGTGTGTGTGTGTGTGTGTGTGTGTGTGTGTGTGTGTGTGTGTGCGCACGTGCCTAAGCACAGACCAGAGTTGGCCTCTTCTTGGTACTGGAATACTTGTGGGCATATGTGACCCAGTATGGCTATTTTAGGTAGATACTGATTAAGAACTGATGAACAGGTAAAGAAGGATAAGTCACATGCAGGGAAACGTCCAAGAGAGTGCAGAATGGCAGGCAGACCACTGGGGCTCTGGATCAAAAACAATCAGATTCTGGGCTGGGGGGGGGCAGGGGGGCGGGGGGCTCAGTTGGTAAAGTGCTTGCCTTGAAAGCAAAGGACCTGAGTTCAATTCCCAAAACACACATTTAAAAACAAAACCCTAACACAGTGGTACACCCTTGTAATCTTAGCAGTGGGCAGGAAGAGACAGGAGGATTCCTGAGCTTGCCAGCCAGCCAGCCCGGCCACCTTGGTGAGCTCTAGGCCAGTGAGGATCCTGTTTCAAAAAAAAAAATGACAAAACAAACCAAGGTAGAGCTGGCCTGATGGCTCCACGGGAAAAGGCACCTGCCACCAAGCGTAATCCTGTGCTCAACCCTGGGACTCACATGATGGCAGGGAAGAAAAGCTACTGCAAGCTGTCCTCTGACCTCCACATGCTTGGTATGGTGCCTGCATGCCCCTCAAACAAAATAAATAATAAAGATGTAAAAAACAAAAACAAACAAACAAACAGGGTGGACAGTTCCTGAGGAACATCATCCATGGTTGTCCTCTGGCCTCCACAAGCTTATTATGCACACACACACACACACACACACACACACACACACACACACACACACACACGATGCACTGGCACACCCAT